CGGGTTGGCCCCTGCGGGCGGCCCCGCAGCGCCCCGGCCTGGTTCGGCTCTCGCCAAGCGGCTGCGTCTCGTGTTTGTGGCACTGGTGGCCGCCGAAGGGACCTGGTGTGGCTTGAGCAAGGGTCTCCCACCACCCACCCACCCTCTGCTCGTGCCCCTTGGGCTGCATTTCCCTTCCTCCTCCCTGAGCACAAATCCCGGGCTACACAGTGACATCTCGCAGTCCCCTCAGTCCAATTTATAGCCCTTTTTTTTCCTCAAATAACTCCATTCCTAGCCAATGGTGCGAAATGCACAGCACAAAAACAACAAATAGCGCTTTGCCTAAATCCGCTGTTTGGAAGAAGCACCAAGGTTGGGCCTTCCCTTGCAATACGCTTAGGGAAAGCTGCGGGGGAAAGAGCTGCTCCCGCCGCCCTGGCGAGGAGGAAGAGCCTTGGAGCAGAAAGCAATGCCAGGGCAAAGCTCTCCGGGGCAAGGCCGGGACGTCGTTAATGCTTAACAAACCAGGGCCTTTCGAGTGATTGCTCTGCTGGCTCTTGCGCTAAGGGAGTTTAATGGACAGCAAACGTGACAGCTTGGCGTTTCTGGGAGCCTGATCGGATCGAGGGAGGCACGAGCGGCACCGAAAACTTTAACGCAACCCGGCTTTAACGCAACATCCTCTTTGCTTTTGCGGACGCAAAGGAAGCTTGCTGGTTAAAATGTAACCCCCCGGGCACCCTTCTGCAAACACTGAAAATCGAGGCCGCAGGGAGCCGCTCCGACAGCTCCATCCTCATAACACTGTTTAATTGCACCCAAATCCCCCTTTTTATTGCATGTTTACCAGCCCCCTTGTAATGGGGCCCTGCTCCATAATGGGGCTGCCGCCTCCTGCAAGGCCGGGGGGTTTCGTTGCTCCCAGCCGCGTCTGCGCGGGGCAGGGAGCTGAGGCGGGCGCGCCGGTGAGCACGTGAGGTGCGGCCCCGTGAAGCGTCCATCAGCTCCAGGCCGGGGGCTCCCGTTGCCTCCGGGGGCTCCGGTTGCTGGATGTCCCTCCACTGCCTGTGCCGGCTTTGGGAAAAGCCCCCCAGGCTCCTGTCTGCTGCCCTGTGTTGTGCTCCTCCACTGCGGATCAGGAGCTGGGCCTGGGGATTGGCCACTGGGCTCCAGGGAAGGGGAAGGGGAAGGGGAAGAGAAAGGGGAAGGGAAAAGGGAAGGGGAAGGGGAAGACAAGGCAAGGCAAGGCAAGGGAAGTTGGTTGGTTGGTTTCCAGCTCCACTTCCCCCCGAGGGAGGCAGGGGCAGAGGTTAACCAGCCTCCAGGCCAGCAAGGCTCAGGTGCAGGTGGCCAAGCCTGGAGGCCGTGGTGCAGCTCGGGCAAAGCAGCCTGGCCAAGAGCAGAGCACTCCCAAGCCATGGCACGGATGTCCATGGAGGCTGGAGCTGAGCGGGACCGTCCTGCAGCTCCACAGCTGCCCACAAAGGCTGGGAGTGGTTCTGCACCTCCATAGGTGTCCAGCAATGGCAGGAGCTCCGAGATACCGTCACCATCCTGCATCTCTATAGACACCCGCAGAGGGCATCCCACATGCCTATAGATGTGCATAGGGTGGGTGCTCCCAGATGCTGCTCTGCATCTGTATAGGCACCAGCGGGGCAGGACGCTCGGAGATCACATCAGGCCCTGGAGGAGGTCTCCGGCAGCTCGCAGCCATTGGGTTGCTAATGTCCTATTCAGGAAATCCGCCCTGCCCCGGGCTGTCCGGGCAAACAAAGCTCTTGAACCACCGCACCTGCAGCCCCGCGGGGAGCGCCCCAGGGCTGGTCCGGACTTGAG